GTTTTCAGTATGTGGCATCTAATTCTCTTGGATCTTTGCTTTAAATAAAGCATTAAAAATGACTTTTTTATTTTCTGATAGATATTTAATCACGCTCACTACCCTCAGTTTCAGTCCCTGTCGGTGTTAGCAGCAGTTTTGGCAGCGTTTGCTCAGATTCTCCTGGGGCTCCGAGGTGTTCAGTCTCAGAGGGTATGGGGGGAAGGGCCTTCTGGGTTGGGGAATGGGGACCATGGTTCAGCCTTGGGTTTGCAGCCGAGGCCGGCAAAAATCAACTGTTATTACTTTGAGGTCCCATCCTGCTTCTCTGCTTTCTGTTCTGATGACTGGGCCCTGCTGCCGGCCACGTGTGAGTTCTGGTACTTCCAGGCAGGGTTTTTCGGGGAAGTTACTGCACCTTCACCCTTGCCCCTCCTTCTGCAAGGAGCTCAGGCGGCTGGGAGAGGCGGCTTCTTTATTCCTCCGAGTCCACCACCCAAAACCCGGGGTTCTGACCTGTGGTAGCTCTTAGGCACGCAGATCCTACGCTCAGACGTGCTGGTGTGCAGTTTGGGTGTTTTTTGTTGAGTTTTAGATGTTCGACTTATTGTTGTTTCAAGGGGAGAGATCAGGGGACGTTTTTCACTCTGCCATGTTTTTTCCAAATCTGTTGCTCTCTTAATAGAGTCTTTGCATTGATTTTTTTTATTATGAAAAATGTCAAGCATACAAAAGTAGAAAGAATAAATAAACCACCATATCCCCATCACCTAGCTTCAACAATTAGCAAGTCATAGCCAATCTCGCTTCATCTACACCTCCAGCTACTTTCCCCAACCCCTAAGTTAATATTTTGAAGCAAGGCTGTCTTTTGATGAACAGTTCTTAATTTTAATGTAGTTCATTTTATCAATCATTTTCTGAATGTTTGGTGCTTTTTAATAAACTTTACCAACCAGGAGGACATAAAAATATTTTCTTATATTACATAAACTTTATTGATTTGCCTTTCCTACTTAGATCTACAATCCACCTGGCATTGATTTTTTTGTGTATGGTGTAAGGTAGAGGTCAATTTCATATTCTTCCATGTAGATATCGAAATGATTAAACACTACCTATTAAAAAGATAGTTCTTTCTCTACAGCTCTGCAGTACCACTTTTTATCATAAATCAAGTGACCAAGTGACCAATCAAGTGATCAATAGATGTGTGCATCTATTTCTGAATTCTCATTTCTGTTCCATTGGTTCATTTTTCTACCTTTGTCTTAATTACTATAGCTTTATAACAAGTCTGTTATGTGGTAAGGAATACCCTCATCTTATAATTCTTCTTCAAGAAGACATTTCCAGGCAATTCTAGAATGCTTTCTATTTCCATTTTAGAATTTAGAATTCTAAAATTTACACACACACACACACACACACGCACACACACACACACACACACACACACACACACACAATCCTCCACTAATCATGGAAAGTAATGTAGTAGGAAGCTCTAAGAATAACTGTCAGAATCAACTTTATTGGAAATCTGGAATCTAATATTTTTAAAAAAGCAAAATTTAGCGTAACCAGGAAAGTACTTAATGAAGAAAAAGGCTGCAAAATTTCAGTAAAGAAGCATTGTGGTGTTTTTGCTTACCCACCTAACAACCCTCATTCCCCACTTGGTGACAGCTATGGGGACAAAGGTTCACATTCTGTATGTGGCTGGCTAGGGCTAGAGGGTCAAATACAGATCTGTTGTAAAAAATTGTGGTTTAGTATTTTGACCTGTCTGGTAGTTTCTAGAGGGATCGGCACAGAGGCTTACCTTTGTTTCATCTACTTCCATACAGTCCCAAGGCTGGGCTGGCTTCTAGTACTTAAAGTCATACACTACCCACAGCCACCAGGGGGAAAGGGATGGCAGACAGGGCAAGAACAGGCAGACCCAAAGCCTGGGAAGGACAAGGCTGAGGAGCTGCTACTTAATGGGTTGGGGGTGGAGTTCCTTTCAGAATGAGGAAAATGTTCTAGAGATAGTGGCTGTACAGTATTGCAAATGTACTAAATGCCACTAGTAATAAATTTACGTTTTGTGTATCTTACCAAAATTTAAAGAACATTTTTAAAATCTGTTGGGATTTTGATTGGATTGTATTGAGTATCAATTTGAGGAAGACTGGCATCTTAACAATATTGAGAGCCCAATCCATGCTGCCCAGATTCCTCTTCACAAGAGGATTTTAATGCCCAATCACAGGGATTGTGATCAGCAGACAGCCTCCAGCTGTGAGCATCTTCAGTTTCTACTAAAGTGTTCAAGGTGTGAGGGGTGGCGGGGTGGGGAAGGGGTATAAAGACCAGTTTGAGGTAGAACAACTCTGTTGGGCAATATTCACTCTAGATCTCTCAGTAAGATTGTCCCAGGCTTTGTAAGGTCTGTATTGCAGTTCAAATCCTCCCTTTTCCTTCCTTTCATAGGAGCTGATCCCTAATAAACATATGGCACCCAAACTGCATGTCAGCATTTTCTCCCAGAAACCCCAATCTGCAATGTTATTTAGCTCTTCTGTAATTTCTCTCGATAATGCTGTATCACTTTCTGTATAGAGGAGTTGCATATCTTTTGTTAGATTTATACCTTGCTTTTTCATGCTCCTCTAAACGGCAATTAGAAAATTTTTATTTTCTAATTTTTGATTCTAGTATATAGGAAGATAATCAACTTTTGTTTATTAGCTTTGTTCCCAGCAGCTTTGTTACCCTCATTTATTAATTCTAATAATTTATAGATAGATTCTTTTGGATTTTCTATGTAAGCAAGCATGCTATCCTCAAAATGAGTTTTACTATTTTCCTTTCCAATCATTATACAGTTTATTTCTTTTTGTGCCCTTCTACACTAAATACAGCCTTCAGTAAAGTGGTGATTTGAAGTGGTAACTATTGTTTCACACTTGATTTCAAAGGAAAGTGCTTAATATTTTATCATTATAGATGAGGTATGCTATAGGGCTTTATTTTGGTAGAATAATTTCATCCGATTAAGAAAATTTACTTCTATTCTTATTGAGCTAAAAAAGTTTTTTTCTCCTAATCCAAGAATGAATGTTAAATATTTTTCTCCTTTATTGAGACATTATTTTTCTTTTACTTGAATATTAAACTACTTAGCATTTCAGGAATACACACATTTTGGTCAGGATGTCTTATCCTTTTTAAATATCACTAAATTTAGTTTGCTAATATTTTACTTAAATTTTTGTACCTATATTCCTGCAGAACATGTAATTTACTTTCTCATATTGTCTCTGTCAGATTTTAGTATCAAATTTAGCTGGCCTCTTAAAATAAATTGGGAAATGTTCCTTTTCTGTTTGTTTTCTAGAATTTTTTAAACATAGATTATTGTTTCTTTCTTAAGTGTTTGGAAGGATTTACCAATGAATCCATCTGTGCCAAAAGTTTTTATTTGTGGGAAGATTTTTAAATTACAAATTCAGCTTATAAGTCTATTTGTATTTTGTATTTATTCTTGTGCTAGTTTGGATAGTTGTATTTTTCTAGGAAGTTGTTTCATCGAAATTCTCAAATTTATTTGCATAAAGTTGTTTATAATATACTTTTATAATCTTTCTAATGTCTCAGAATCTATAACAGTTTCTCTTTATTTCGTTCTTGATATTAGTTATTTGTATCTTCTTTCTGATTTATTTATTTATATTTTTATTAAAATATATTTGGCATATAAAATTGTGTAACTTTAAGGAGTTTGACATGTTAATTTGCTACATTTAATAATTGTAAATATGATTGCCATGTTAGTGATGATTAGCACCTCTATCATGTTACATTATTATCCTTTATTTTTAGTAGTTGGCATAATTAAGTTCTTATTTCTAAGTTCTTAGTAAGTTTGATGATTATTTTTTTCTGTATTTACTATACTGTGCATTAGATCTCTAGGGTCATTATGCCTTCTCACCTAGTTTAATATTATCAGGAGACAAGTTTGAACTGTCCACTGATAGAAGACCAAAATTTTTTTCTCTATTTTCCATTTGGTCCAGGGCACTAAAATTTAGATCAATTACATATAATTCTTACAAATTTAAACATGGATTTTTGATTTAATAAAAGCTAGTTTGGAAAGGTCATCTTGTGTTAAACTCAGATTGATCAGTCACAATTTTTTTCTCTGAATTTACCTGGAAGAAAATATTTATTATGTAAATCATATATTTAAGGACTTGTTTAAAACTTCTGTTTTATGAATAACAAATCACTTGGCTTTTATACTTACATATTGCATAGAAAGGAAACATAGTTTGGTATCATTTTTCCAGTTATCATGTAGGCTGTTTTACTTATTGGATATCCATAAGAAATTAAATCTTAAAATAGTGTCTAAGTTAAAAATAATTATTTGATGTTTATTCACTTGATCTATTTCATAAATAATCAATACTCAGCAACTATTTTAATATGATAGAGTGAGAAGTAATGAATTGATATATACAGAATGTTGGAGAGTGATTTTTTCTTTTTATAGGCAGAGCTTCTAGATGCTGCAGCTGGTGTTCATGTAAGATTCAGATTTGGTGGTGTAAGTACAGATGAATTCTTATTTGGTAGTTTTAAAGCACATTCATAAGAAATTTAAAAGATGTAATTTTAAAAAAACGTTAACCATTTTTGTAATTAGATTACAATGGTCCTTTGTTTCATCTACAGGTTAAATTTCCACCTGAAATATACTATAAAATTTTCACTCAGAGACATGTTGAGGATCTGTGTGCTAATAGCCCTAGAGATTACACAAAACTTTCAGCAAAATATGCATCTTATATTAAAAGTGATAATCTTCAAGAAGAGGATCATAGTGGCTGGTATCGTCGTATAGAGAACAATGGCTGGAGGCCTGTTTCTGATAGGGTAAGAAAAGAGAAATATTAATAATTTTGAATCTTATGTATTTAGAAACTAACTTGTCCTTTTAAAAATTAATTTTACAATTTGTTTCTAAAATAGTAAATCCTAGTAATTTAGCTGATAAAAATTGCTTAAGTTAACCTCTATGGGGTTACTAATAGTACTTCAAGATATAGGACTATGTCCTTTTTTTCTTACATTTACTTCTCCTTGTAGTAATTAGCTTTAATCTAGGCCATCTTTAGATATTCTCTGATACTCAGCAATTTGCCATCTTTATAACAAAGTAAATTTGAAGATGTTGTTGACTCTGTATTAATCCTTGGACTAGAGTTGAGAGTTCTTGAGAACAACATGACATTTCTCTTATAGAACTTGTAACAGCAAAGACTGTTAAAAATCATTTGTATTTTTATGGTGTTGGGGAATTTAACATGCATTAATATTAATTGAACAGAATGATTTTAAATATACATAGTTTCTAATGTGTATATGTAATTCAGGGACTTTTCTATAGACCCTCATGTTTAATAGCCTTTTTGCAGAGATAATTTTTACCTAAAGATATTTGTAAGCTAGATTAACATGATCTGGTTTCTTAGCTCTAGATGTCTGTTTATATGGCCTCAAGTATCTTCATTCAAATCCTCAATCTCTGGTAGACAGGACTGTAGAATATGGTATGTTGAATATACTGAGTAAGAAAAGTGAAAATGATCAAATTATGAATTCATTCATTCATCTAACAAAATTTATTGCATACCAACCATGTGTCAGGCATGGTTGTACTAGATTCTACGGATACAATAGTAAATATGAATAGTCCCTCTCCATCAAGTTGTTTGCCTTTTAGTTAGGGAGAGTGTCAGTTAACAGGATATTTCAGTGCAGTGCAATAAATATGTGCTTTAATAGTGGCAAATACAGAGTATTGTGGGGGATAGCAAACTCTCCTCCTTGTTACTTATATGTGTATGGTGGGAGAAAGGAAATGAATCAGAAGTAGGAGAATAGACAGCCAGTTAGGATAAAGTGTTATTCAGGGAAAGTCAAAAACTCTTGGAATATAACGGTAAGACTTCTGTGTTCTTGGAGGGTACCTATACTCCTTGAGGATTAGAGTCTTCAAAAGCCAACAGCACTAAGAGTTGGCCATGTCTGTTCTCATGAGAAATACTTTTAGAATATGTCTATTCATTTATTCATTCAACAAATGCATTTTAAGTACCTCAGTACACTAGTGCTACTCACAATGTGCTACTCACCTATCACTTAATTAGAAATACTGTAACAGAGTTTATCTTCTTCTCTATTTCTATCTTGGCATATTCCTACTGAACACGAAAAAGTTCTTGTCTATAACCAGATAACCTCACAATCAGTATTTCAACATTTTCTATATTCATTTTTAATTTCTCAATAGTTTTGGATATCTACTGAAGATGTAATGGTGGGAGACGAAAAGGAAAGTACATTCCATTTCTCTAAACTGAAGAGAAGGCAAGATATGGAAAAGAAAAGAAAAATTAAAAAAATAAAATGGATGAGGCAAATGTAAGTTGATGAATTATTTAGACTTTATTTTATCTTGTTAAAAAAAGAAATATTTAGACTTACTAAGGAATTATACAGTATTTTAAGTTTTTTAAAAAATTGCTATCACTACTAAAATAAGTACATGTTATTTTTAAAAGACAATGTAAGGTTAAAATTATATTTTAAAAAATACATAGTAAGCAAACATTTAATAAATGCTTATGATGTGTCAGACATTCTTAATCTCTGGAATATAAATGAGAAAAGACAAGTCGTCTCTGACCTCAAGGAAATCACAGTCTATTAGAACATTGGATATGAAAATAAGCATTTACTCTTATATATCACATAACTTTCATTTGGCCCTTAAAACCCACTCTATACCCTTCTCAACCCTTCTTTCTGCCCTAAGAGACTATGTGGATTACACTAAAAATCATTCTGGACCTATCTAACAAATGATAAAAGCAAATGTCAAAAAATAGAATTGTTTTCAGCTTTCCTTGACTGCATACCAAAACAAAGCCCCAACATATTTAAAGGAATACAAAACACTCCAGTACCTAAAATCATATGAAATTCACAGTGTCTACCATATAGTAATCATTACCAGGCATGCAAAGAAGCAGGAAAATAAATCTCATCTGAGAAAATAAATTATTAGCAACAGATCCACCAAAAATATCTTTAAAAAGTGAATATGAAAGAAAAACTTTTCAGACAAACAAAAGCTGGGGCCTCTTATCATGAACAGACCAGTACTACAAGAAATGTTAAAGGAAGTTCAGGCAGAAGAAATGATTCTAATTAGAAATCCGGATTCATACAAGAATGGAGAATACCAAAAATGATAACTATGTAAGTAAATGTAAAGAACTTTTTTCTTACTATTTAAATCTTTTTAAAAGGTAATTAACTAACTACTGAACTATACACTTAAAAATAGTTAATGTGGTAGCTTTTATGTTATATGTTTTTACCATAATTTTTAAAAAGATAGATATTAAATTTTTTATTATAAAGGAATGAGTTAGTATTGATATTGCTAATCAAGTTCTACTTAAATTCTCAATTCCACAATTGTACTCCTTTTCTCTTATATTGAAAATCTTCATTTCAAACAAGTTTTAATTATAAAAATAACTATAATAAAAATATGATACAATTGCTAAATAAAGTTCAAATTTTTTAAAGATAATTTACTATTTAAAGCAGAAACAATGACAATGTATTGCAGTATTTATTAATTTATAGCAGTGTAAAAGTTAAATGTATGATAACAATACCACAAAGGCTGGGAAAGGTGAAATGGAAATATACTGTTAGAAGTTCCTTATACTACATGCAAAGTGGTATAATATTGCTTAAAGATAATTAAAGATGTATACTACAAACCCTAAAGCAACCATAAAATCAACCATAGCAACAAAGATGTAAACCTCTATTATAAGCTAATAATGGAGATAAAGTAGAATCATAAAAAAACAATTAATCCAAGAGAAGTCTGAAAAAAGAGGAAAGGAAACAAAGAACATAGGACAAAAAGGAAATGAATAGCATGATGTGGATTAAAACCAACCATGTCAATAATCATATTAAATGTAAATGGTCTATATGTTATATACAAGAATTCACTTTAAATGTAAAGCACAAATAGATTAGAAGTAAAAGCATGGAAGAGGGTCATTCTAACAGTAATCAAAAGAAAGCCACAGTGACTGTATTAATATCAACTTAGTAGATTTCAGAGAAAAGTATATTTCCAGCGATAAAATGGATCATTTAAAATAATAAAGGAGTAAATTTATAAAGAAAACATAATAATTCTAAATGCTTGCTTACCTAATTACAGAGCTTCAAAATACATGAAACAAAACCAATAGTACTGAAAAGAGAAAAAGACAAGTTCAAAATTATAATAACAGATTCCAAAAGCATTTTCTTAGAAATTAATACAACAAATGGGCAGTAAATTAGTAAAGAGATAGAAAACTTGAGCAACACTATAAACCAACTTGAAATTTTTGTCATAGTTGGCATTTATAGAGCACCACACCCAAAAACACAAACTATATATTTTTTCATATTCTGGGCCATAAAACAAACATCCACAAATGTAAAAGATAAAAATCAGACTAAAGAAGTTCTTCAATTACAATGGAATTAAAGAGAAATTAAAAATAGAATAGACTTAGTAACAAAAAAAATCTGGAAAACCTTCAAATATTTGGATATTAAACAGCATAACCTTTAAATAATCTATGAGTCAAAGAAGTCACAGGGAAATTTGAAAATATATTTGGTTTAATGAAAATAAAAATAGAACATATTAAAATTTGAGGATGCAACTAAACCAGTACTTACAGGGAAATTTATAGCATTAAAATACTTATATTAAAAAAAGAAGAAGGATCTCAAATCGATGCTCTAAGCTTCCAGCATAAGAATCTAAAAGAAGAACAAATTAAACCCAAAGCAAGTAGAAGAAACAAAATACTGAAGGTAACAGCAAAAATCAAGGACATTGCAAACATAAAACCATCAGAGAAAAATCAATGAAATCAAAGCTTGTTTTCTTTGAAAAGAGCAATATAATTTATAAACCTGTTAATAAATTTTTAAAAAGAGAGAGAACACATGCAAATCAGAAACATTAGAAATGAAAGCAGAGATATCACTAAAGATCCCATAGACATTAAAGTAGTATAGATCTATTGCAAGCAACTTAATAAATTTGAAAAATTACGTGAAAGAATAATTTATTGGAAGACAGAAACCAAAGCTCACTGAAAAACAAATAAAGATAACATGAATAGTCTTATATCTATTAAAGAATTTGAATTTAAAGTTTTTAAAAATTCTGACAAAGAAAACGCAAAGCCCAGATAGATTTCCTGGTGAACTTTAGCAAGCATTTAAGAAAGACATAATACAAATTCTGCAAAAATATTTTCAGAAAAAGGGGGAACACATCCCAACAATTTCTATAAGGTATTACCAAACATAAAAACACTCAAGGCTTATAAGAATAAAAATATATTATAAGAAAATAACAACCAATATCTCTCATGAACAGAGATACAGGGTAATAAATAACAGACTGAGTCTATCCCAGGAATACAAAGTTGACTTAACATTTGGAAATCAATCAATGCAATTCACCATGTTAACAGACTTAAAAAGAAAACTAGGTATGATCATCTCAATAGATGCAGAAAAATTCTTACAACAATTCATATTAAAAACTCTTGGCAAACCAGGAATAGACGAGAATCTTCTCAATCTGATGAAAGGCATCTATTAAAAACAAAACAAAACAAAACAAAACAAAACCTACAGCTAACATACTTAATGGTGAAAGACTGAAGCCTTTCTAAAATCAGGAACAAGGCAGAGATGTTTGTTCTTGCCATTTCCTTATAATATTACCCTGGAGGTCCTAATCAGTCAAGTAAGGCAAGAAAGAGGGAGGAAAAAGACATTGAAATTGGAAAGGAAGAACTAAAACTGTCTTAATTCACAGTTGACATGATTGTCTAGGTACAAAATCCTAAAGAATCTACCGAAAGGTACTAGAACTAATAAATGAGTTTATCAGGGTTGAGTGATACAGAAAGTAATTGTATTCCCATATCTAGGCAACAAACAATTAGAAACTTCAATTTTAAAAAATACCATTTGTAGTAATATTAAAAAATATGAAATACCTAGGCATAAATCGAAGAAAAATTCTGCATGACTGTACACAGAAAACTACTAAACATTGCTCAAAAAAGTTAAAGAAGACTTAAATAAATGAAAAGACATAAGGTATTCATAGATCAGAAGACTCAATATAGTTAAGATGTAAATTGTCTCCAAATTGATCTATACATTCAATGCAATCACAATCAAAATTTCCAGCTGGTTTTTGTGGAAATTGACAAGTTGATTTGAAAATGTATATATGGAACTGCAAAGGAAATAGAATAGCCAAAACAATTTTGGAAAAATAAAATTTGGAAGACTTACACTATTTGATTTCAAGACTTATAATAAAGCTACTATAATTGAGATATTGTGGTATTGGCTTAAGATAGACATATAGATCAATGGAGCAGAATGGAGAGTTCAGTAACAGACCCACACATACATTGTTAATTGAGTTTTAACACAGGCACCAAGGCAACATAATTGCAAAAGGATATTCTGTTCAACAAATTGGATACTCAAATGCGGAAAAATGAACCTTGACCCATATCATCCACCATACGTAAAATTAACTCGAAAGCAATGATAGATCTCAATATAAGAATAGACCATAAAATATCTAAAAGTAGACAACGGACAACAATCTTAGTGACCTTGATTCTGACAACAATTTTTAAGTAGGACACAGAAGGCATGAAGTATGAAAGAAAAATATTGTTAAATTGCACTTCATTGAAGTTAAAAGCTTTTGCTCTCTGAAAGACACTATTATAAAAATAAAAAAGCAAGCCACAGGCAGGAAGAAAGAATTTGCAAAAAATATCTGATAAAAAGCTTATATTTAGGATATTTCTTAAAATTCTCAAAACTCAGTGATAAGAAAACAACCTAATTTAAAAATGGGCGAAGATTTGAACAAACACTTTTCCAATGAAGATATATGGGTAGCAAATAAGCACAAGTTAAATCATGACTGTCATCATTAGTTGTTAGGGAAGTGCAAAGCAAAACGATAATTAGATACCTTTACATACCCACAGGAATGGCTAAAATAGCCCGCCATGCTAATTTTTGACACAGATATGGAGAAAATGCAGACTGGTACCTCCACTTTGGAAAACAGCTTGGCAGTTTTGATACAAGTTAAGTTATAGAATGCACCTGCCATTCAACCCAGCCGTTTCGCTCCTAGGTATTTACCCAAAAGAAATAAAACATGTGTCCACAGAAAGATTGTATATGAAGATTCATAACACCTTTATTTATAATAGCCAAAATCCAGAAACAACCCAAATGTTTATCAACCCAAAAGTCAGTGGATAAACAAT